TCTCGGGCAAGGCACCTAACCTCTCTGAGTTTCTGCCTCCTCACTGGAGACAAGGATGGCGATGAGGGTGCCCATCTCGTGGGATGGTTAAAGATTAAACGAGTTTACCTGTGGCTAGAGCAGTGATACTGATGGTAACTTATTGGGATGGTGGATGAACCAAGACTAGAACTGGGGAGGCCGAGGAAAGGAAGGAAGGACCCTCCCCCAATGCCCCTGGAGTGCAAGGGGCTTTACGTCTCTGTCAGCCTCCTGAGCCACCCTATGGATGGGGCCATGGCTCAGAGAGGGGCAGTGTCTGGCCTGAGTCACACAGTGGGGAGATCACTCCCCCAGGCCCGCTCACTGAGTCCTTGGAGGTGGGCGTTCCTGTCGTCCCCATTTTACAGAAGAGGAGACTGAGGCACAGAAAGGCCAGGCCACTGGGTCCTGAGGTCGTGGAGTTTGCCAGCAGTCGAGCTGGGATTTCAACCCAGCAGCTGGCTTTTCCCACTCAGCTGTACATAAATTATCCAGACTCCCTGACCTCAGGCTGTGGGGAGGGTGAGCGAGCCTGTCACCTATGGGAAATGCTCAGAACTCCCAGGACCAAGTCTTCCTCACCTGGGGTTGAGGGTCAGGCAACCCGCCTCTCCTGGGGTCTCTGGCTGGACCCCACAACTGTGGTCAGGAGACCCCCGAGAGAGCGGTTAGCCTGGCTCTCAGCTGGGGTCCCACACCCTCAGTGCCAGCCAGACGCCAGGGTGGGCGCCGGCATCCCTGAAAGGCTGCATCCCCTCCCCCCGGCCCCTTCTACCTCCTCACATCGGGGCCTGCCCTCCAGCCACACGGCCCCCGTGTCCCCCAGCCAGAGCCTGCCTGCAGCTCCCTCGAGGGCGCTGGCTGCTGCTGTGAGGAACCCCTGCTCCCCAAGCTGTCTGGTGACCCTTCAAGGGAGGGAGCGGCCTCAGGCCACCTGGCCGGCTGCAGCCTTGCCGTCAGGATCCCCGATTCCGGTCACGTGGTGCGCACACCTGCCCGCCGCCGCACGCCACTGCCACTCTCCTTCCCCGGCCCCAGTTAGGGCGAAAGCCTCACTTATTAGTCAATCTGGAGCCCACTTACTGGGAATTACCAGGCCTGATTGATATTCATGAGTGGATACATCTGAAACCTTAGCTGGCTGCCACGTGACTTGGGCTGGGGGAGGTGGCCGCTCTGAGGACCCGGGGACCTGAGCGGCCCCGACAGGCAGTGGCGGCCCCCGGCTGACAGCCGTCCATACCCAGCAGTGGCCGGGACCAGGAGGCGCCAGCAGGGCTCTCACGTCTGCCTGGTGACAGAGAGTAGGGGCCGCCAGCCGGCATGGAGGGAGGCCAGCAGCCAGACGCCCCGGCTCCCACGGCTCCACCTTTGCCTCCTCTTCCCCTCTGCTTAGCTACCTCCCTCTCCCCTGCAGGTGGAGGTGCCCCCAGAGCCCCCAGCAGGGGTCAGCCCCCCCATCGTCATTCTCCTGGTGCACTGCACCATCCCGCACACACGCCACTGGGGCAGCCCGGCCTGCAGTCTCGTGTCCGGTGTCTGGGGCTGAGTTCCGTGGACACCAAGGCTTGTGTCCTCGGCTCACCATCCAGGGCCCGGTACAGGGCAGCATTCAGTAAGACTCAGTGGGATGAATGGTGCTTCCCATAGCCCGGGGCCTGGGCTGTGGCTCAGCGTCCACCTCCGGGGCTTGTATCACCCTGGGAGGGACTGTCCATCCTCCCCGTTTGCAGAGGAAGAAGATGCAGAGATTTGGGAACTTAGGAGGCAGAATCTAGGCTGGTGTGATTCTCAAGCCTGAGCTTCGGGGCTAGAGGGAGGAACTTAACCTCTCGCCTCCGAGGGGTTGGGCTTCTGGCAAGTACCCTGTCTTGAGGGTCCGAGGAGGGCTTTTGCTCCAGGCAAGATGCCGTGAAAGTAAATATCGATGGTCAGCTTGGAACGTACAAATGCTGACGGCACCCGCTCCCCACTCCCCCGCCCCTCTCCATGCTGAAAAACTGCTTTGCTGAGCAGGGGCTGAAAGCACAGAGATCGGTCTATATTCTACGAGGATCGGCTACTCAGCTGAACAGAAAAAAGGTGCGGGAACTGGGACTGCTTTCTAGGACAGTGGGAAGATGGAGTCTGGCCTCTCCAAGCAGGAACAAGGAGCATCTACTTGCAACTACCCACCCCACTAACCCCACAAAACGGGCACTTGCCAGCTGGGTGGCAGGGCCAGGCGAGGTGGTGCCACCTGTCCCTGGTTCAGGGCTTCCAAAGTCAGAGCAGGGAGGCTGAGGGATCGGAGAGGAGCCGGGATGCAGAGAAATGAGGCTGAATCCCAAACTCCGATTTCTAAATTCAGACGTTTCCCAGAAAAAACGGACTGAGTCTCGGTAACCAGGATGAAGGCGCTGGCTGCTGGAGAGCCCTGGGGCTTCTCTAGAGCTGGGGGGATGGGAACCACGTCCAAGGCACGGGCTGCTCAGGGCACTGGGGGTGGGGGTGGCTCCCCTTCCATGAGGAGGACTGGGGTTGATGCTGCCCTGCTGGAGGGAATCTGCCAGTGACCCCCAGGGAAGTTCTGGGGCCCGCCTGGCTGTGATGATTGCAGGACAAAGAGCACAGGCCCTTCCAGCAGGAGATCACCTGGGGGCGTGATGAGTGCCATCTGGGTCCCTTGGCAGCATGACCGCTCCTGAAGTGAGAAGACTCCTCGAGGGGGCTGGACTCACCTGACTGGCTAGGATGTTCCTGGTTTTGGCAGTAAGAGTCTCTGGATGGCCTGCTTCTCCAGAGGCCGGACCAGGGGCGACCTGGATTCCAGCAAACCCCAGGGGACCCGCCCCCCCACCCCGCCCGTCCCTCCGCTTCGTTGGCGCTAGTCGTACTTGTTGGACGAACGCCCGTCCGGTCCCGTTCCGCCTCC